GTGAGGAAAGGAGAGGAAAAAATGAAGAGCTGATACCAAGGGCTCAAGTAGAAAGCAAATGTTCTGAGAATGATGATGGCAACAAATGCACAAATGTGCTTGACACAATGGATGGATGTACAGATTGTGATAAGAGCTGGACAAGCCCGTAATAAAATAATAAAAAAGTGACTGTTTTTAAACCCCCAGGGGCAGTTCTACTCTGTCCTATAGGGTCACTGTGAGTTGGCAGAGACTTGATGGCAGGGATTTAGATCTGATATATATCTGACTTTCAAAATTTGCTTTATTTCTATTTGACCTAAATTCCATTCTACTGCAAGTTAATAAACCTAACTTTGTGGGACTACCGGTATGGCCCTGGTGGGTTTTATCCATTAACATGCATGTTCATGATTATGGTAAGTGCAAAACCGTAGAGTGTATGATTGATTTTTGCTTTTAAAATACAAATACATGAAAAGATGAATCAAAAGTACAATTTAGTATTTCTGGGTAGTGATTCCACAAAAAACCCAAATTCACTGCCATGGAGTCACTTCTGACACACAGCAACCCTGTGAGCAGCAGGTGGGTTTTGAAGGTGGTAAATCTTTAATAGAGCAGAGCCTCATCTTTCTCCCTCCAGGCAGCTGGTGGTTTTGAACAGCTGACCTTTCGGTTATCAACCCAATGCATACCAAACTTACTGCTGAGTAGATTCTGACTCATAGTGATCCCATGGAACAAACTAGGACTGCCCCTGTGGGTTTAAGAGACTGCAACTCTTTAGTGTAGAAAACCATCTTTTTCCCTCCGAGCCTCTGGTGGTTTTGAACTGACCTTTTCATTAGCAAAAACAATGCATAACCACTATACCACCGGGGCTCCTCTGAGTAGTGAAAAACATACTTGGTTTTTGACTTTAAGGTTAAGGGGCAGCCGTTGCAAGAAAAGTAACGAGTCTACTACATAAGCAAACTTGCCAAAGGAACAAGCAAAACCATCCTGTGCTGTGAAGTTGCTTCTGACTCTTGGGGACCCCAGGTGGCAGAGTATAACCACACCCCAGGTGTGCTGGCTATCATCTTTAGGGAAACCTCCACCTCAGGCTTCTCCTCCTGGCTTTAAAGTGCCCTTCCTCTAGTTTAGCCACCAAGGCTCCAATGTAACAGCTTAACTTTAAGATCCACAATTTAGCCTAGCATGGTCCGAAGATCAGGAAAATCTCCGCATCCTTCACATTTGTGGGACCATACAGGTGGGGTTATAAATGTAATTTCACATGTGCAAGTAGAATGGGGTCCTTTGAAAGCAGGTCCTGCTATCTTCTAAGTTTTTGCCTTGTAATGTACACGGTCTTTAATTATCAGACTGTATAAAGCCTTGCCGCCAGAGGGCTGGTTCATTTTTATTTTTAATGATTTATTATTTACAAAACTCCCCGCAACCCACTAATCACAACATGCATCACAACATTGTTGCAAAGTAGGTCAAACTACTCCGTAACACATTTGTAGCTTTTGGTACTTATTGTTACCTCCAATTCTACTCTTTGGGAAAGCCTGTATCAAGGCACTGACTTATATGCTAATTTCATGGAAAAGATAAAACTCTGGAGTTTCCTTATAGGGAAACCTGAAAAGATAATTCACTTCCTTCTAAAGCTACCTTCCACAGATGGTCCACACAGTCTATACAAATCACATTAAAAACAAAATACTCCTTTGGCGTCGCTGCGTCAAAGCTCAACAGAAAGAGCCACAAGGAAGCTATTTCTACACGTAAATACAATCGGGTGTGCCTCCTGATTCTTATTAAAGGCACACGTTAGTAGGAAAAGAATAGCTCCGCCCACGGGCTTTGCAACGTTTGAATCCTGGGGAGTAACTACCGTCGGGAGTGAATGAGCGAACCGCCGAGAAGGCGCCGGGGCCCGGCTGGCAAGTGGTAGGCTTGCAATCCGTGTCAGCTGGCCCCGAAGGGGACTTTCCAAGCAGTGAATTAAACCCAGGCCCTGGAAGCGACACGCCCAGTCCCACGCTGCACCGAGCCCAGTGTGGAAGCGCCCGGCCGGCGCTTCGCGCCACACCCCTGGAAAAAAGCCAGGTCCCTACGCCTAGGAGCACTTTGACCTAGACCTAAGGTCCAGACGTGGCTCGACCTCGGCCCCGCCAGGCTTCCTCGTGGGCTCCGCCCCTACACCCGTCCCGAGCGCCACGTCTCCCAGGAACCGACCCCTCCCAGGCTGTGGTTGCGCCACGCCTCCAACAGGCCCGTTCGGGTCACCGGCTCAACGGCTCCCGCCCCGCCCGGCCCCGCCCGAGCGCACGTGACCCCGCGGCCCCGCCCACCGGCGCCCACGTGACCCGCGGCCCGCCCCGGCGTCCCCGTGCGCGGCGTGGAGCCCGGCCTGAACCGCCATTGTTCCGCCGAGGGGAGACCGCGGGGCCCTGGCACTGGCGCCAAGACGCCGCTTAGCGGCCGCCGCTGGAGAGACTCCCTCCGCCCTCCCCTCCTCCTGGCGGCGGCGGCGCGCGGCGGACTCGGGGGAACCTGGGAGCCCCCCGCGCCCTCCCCGCGGACGCGGCGGCCGATCCCCGCCTCCGGCGCGAGGGGCGGCCGCGATGCGCTTGGCCTGAGGCTGTCCAGCCCGGCCCTGCCTCGCCTCCCGTGACTGTCGCACGACCTCCCTGCGCGCCAGCGTCTTCCTGCGAGTGCCACTGGCGGAAGGGAAGATGGCTGCACGGGGCTGGCAGGAGGCGCTGGCCCAGCAGGCCGAGGAGGGCTCGGCCCGGCTCCGGGAAATGCTCTCGGTCGGCCTAGGCTTCCTGCGCACCGAGCTGGGCCTCGACCTGGGACTGGAGCCGAAGCGGTACCCGGGCTGGGTGATCCTCGTGGGCACGGGCGCGCTCGGGCTGCTGCTGCTCTTGCTGCTCGGCTACGGCTGGGCCGCGGCGTGTGCCGGCGCCCGCAGGAAGCGGAGGAGCCCGCCTCGCAAGCGGGACGAGGCGGCGGCCGCGCCGGCCCCGGCCCCGGCCCCGGCCCCCGACGACCTGGCCTTGCTGAAGCCTCTCCGGAGCGAGGAGCAGAAGAAGAAGAACCGGAAGAAATTGCCCGAGAAGCCCAAGGTGCGTAGGGGGACCGGGGGGCGCAGGGGGAGAGTGAGGCTGCAGGCGCAGGTCTCGCCAAGGTGGAGGAGCGAAACTAGGTGGACACGGCATTTGGGGAGTGGTGGAAACTCGGGAGTTCCAGGACGAGCGGAGGAGACCCCAGTGTCGAGGAAGGAAGTTAGGAGGGCCGGGTCGGGGGCCCACGATGAAGACATTTTCGGGAACCTTGACGGCCGGAGGAGCCCAGCCACTCGAATCGAGGCTTCCTGGGTCGCCTGCATGCGGAGGGAGGGTCGTGGGACCTTTCGGTGGTGCTGGGAAGTTGTGGAAGGACCGGGTCTGGAAGACATGCCATCTCGAGTCACATTGAGGGGGGCCGGCAACACGGTGACCTGAAAATTCCGGGGCTTACCCAAGAATTAAAAGGGGCCTCGGTCGAGACGCGCTTCCATTTTAGCGGGGACTGTGACAGGCAAATGGTTGCCCACTCGAGTTCTTGTGCCCTGGTAAACGGAGGCACAGAAGCCCTGTGAGCGAGACTTGGGCAAGTTCTGCGGAGGGACTTGCTCTGTAGGCTGTTGAAGAGGGTATGGCCAGCACTGCAGTGCCGCCAAGAGAGGGTTCAGGCGCCCATTTCCTGGACCACACGTGGACATGCTGAGAGATCACATCCGTGTCAGCATATCATCATCCTCCGGGTGGTCACGGACCCTTCGTAACCCTGAATAAGGTCGCCCTATACAGGGTCGTGTCCCCCACCCCCAGCCTGTAAAGCTTTACCAGAGCAGATCGCCTTATGCTTCTCCTGCAGAGCGTTGGTTGGTGGATTTGAACCATCGACCCTGTGCTAACAGCCTAACACCTATTCCACAGCACTACCAGGGCTCCTGTTTTCCCACAATGCCCACACTATACCTTTCATAGTGTTCTTTATTTCTTAAATTACACGAGCAATCGGAGGGTATGAAGTGTGTGTGGAATTAGAAGTAATTCCTAACATATTTTCTTTCTTTTTTTTAAATCATTTTATTAGGGGCTCATACAACTCTTTATCACAATCCATACACACATCAATTGTGTAAAGCGCATTTGTACATTCATTGCCCTCATCATTCTCAAAACATTTCCTATCCACTTAAGCCCCCCGGCATTAGGTCCTCATTTTTCCCCTCCCTCCCCGTTCCCCCCTCCTAACATATTTTCAAACACGCTGGATTAAGCTCATCTGCTCCCCCACCACCACCAATTACAATTAACAAGATAGTGCCAAAGCCCGACTTTGTGAAGTGCATGCCGCTGCTGTTAGTGGACAGTGTAAAACACGTAAAAGTTGGGCTCATTTGTTGAGCCTGAGGGTAGGCCACAGTTGCTTAACTGAGAAGTGCTATGAAGGAATTGAGGAAAGCTGATAAAGGAAGTGGAATTGGAGTTCAGACCAATGTAATGAGTTGTCTGTACCACTGAAAAGAATAAGGCTGTCACAGCTCTATTAAACTTATGTAGCATTCACATATTGCTTGCTCCTTAAAAGGATGCAAGGTATGAATACCACCTAGAACAGAACATGCTTTGTCAAGGTGAGTACTTCCTAAGATAGGAAAGGTTATTAGGAGTATATCCCAAAGCCAAACTCAACTAACACCGAGTGGATTCTAATAACTCATAACCTGGAACTGGAGTATGTAAGTATGTACTTATTTAAATTTGTCGAGAGCATCGAGAGGCTTGCCAGGAAGTAGTGTTGATGGTAGAAGCAGTGAACCTGGCTCCAAGGGAAGGAAAGAAGATGATGTTGAAAAAATTAAGTCACGCTTATTAGACCTAATCCCTGTGTGGAAGGATCAGGTTGTGAATATGTCAAAGCCTTCTTTGGGACATCTAGAATGTCAGAAAGACTTGACTAGCAAGACAGGTGCTCCAAGAGCCCATCTGAAGGGTATCCTATCCCTCAGATGACTCACCCAAAGAAGGAACACAGGCTCCAGTGAGTATCTGCACCAGCGAGAGTACTCATAGACCTTGAGCTGTCGTTCCCCTTTTGGGTTTGCTTTAGTACTAGGTAGGTAAATAACCTAGTGTTAGCTTTGATCAGAGGAGAAGGAAAAGACTGACTGGATGGTTGACTGTTGATTAGGTGAAAAGAGTGTCTTTGCCAACTGAATGGTAAAGAAGGTGTACAGGTGTTAAGCTCCACCAACAGTTTACCAAACTCTTTGCAAACTTTTTTGATTGCAACCCACAGTAAAAAATACATTCTGCATTACAGTATGTACGGACACAACTCTTCTGTTTTTCTTTTTTTTTTTTTTTCTCTTCTGTTTTTCTTGAATGATTTTAGTGACCTACTAAATTGATTTCTCATTTGGTGGAGGCGTTGACCCACAGTTAGAAAAAATATTGTTTTGCAAGGCTGAGAAGTCTGAGCTGCAATTTCTTTAGTGCTCATTACATGCTGTGAAGTTGTTCAGTGTTTATCCAGAAAAGCTGGATACTGTTTGTGAATTGAAGGCAGTAAAAAGGAATCTAATATTCTAGTCTGACTTACTGGGTAGGGGAATACAAGAGTAAGAGTTAAGCTTTTCATTCCACTTATGGAAAAAGGTAAAATCGAAAAATTAACAAAACAAACCCAATGTGGACAGAGGTAGGTAGGGAAAGCCTCTTACTCCAGAGAACTTGGCTTTGAAAGTGGGTAGTAGAGGACATTGAGAGGGAGGGGGACGCTTACACCAAGGCAGGTGAGGAAGACCTGGGCAGCCTGGCAGGAATAGGGAACTTTGAACTTCAGTAAGGCATTAACCTTGCTCTATTTATCTTATCTTGTTTATAAATTGAAGCTCTTCACCAAGTTGAAAATGGCAGGATTCCTCTACTAGGGTCCTTGTGAGTCAGAATTGACCCAGTGCCAAATGAGACTTGCCCAAGAGTCACGTTGAATGGGTGCTAACCCTTTCTTGACTATATTACCTTCTGCTTTGACTTTTTTCATGCTCCCATGAAGATTTAGTGCCTCAGAAATTCAAAGGGACACTTCTGCTATGCCCTCTAGGGTCTCTCTGAGTCGACATCAACTCGATGCCAGTGGGTTGGGTTTGGTTTTATAGCACAGAGTAGAACTGTCCCTGTGGTTTTCCCAGGCTGCACACCTTTACAGGAGTGAGAAGCCTCACCTTTCGCCTTCAGAATGCTAGTGGATTCAGATTGGTTAACAGTCCAACACACTAGAGGATGGGAGATTCTACTGAAGGAATCGAGGAAAGCTGATAAAGGAAGTGGAATTGGCGTTCAAGCCAATGTAATTAAAGAATTGTTGTAAGATATGAAAATAATAATAATTTATACTGATCAGAGTGGTGGGGGAGGGGAAAAAGAGCTGGTGCCAAGGGCTGAAGCAGAAAAACTGTTTTGAAAATAATGGTGGCAACATATGTACAAATGTTTTTGATACAATTAATGTAAGAATTTTTATAAGAGCTGTTAGACCCCCATTAAGATGATTTATTAATAATTTCTTTTTAAAAGAATTATCTATGACAGTGAAAAGGAAGGAGAAGGCTGTTACAGCTCAGGTATTAAGTCTATGTAGCATTCACATATTGCTTGCTGCTTACAAGGGCCCTGGCTGGGTGTAGCCCATCTTCATTAGTACGCCATGCTGATGTGCCATTTAGAATATACTTAGTCTGATTCAAATGGCTTCAGTAATGTAATCTACAGCTTTGAAAGGTCATTCCAAATTTATTTAAAGCATTTTGCTTAAGTATAATTTTATTGTCATCCTTTAATTTTTAATGTTCTTTTAAATTTTTATTTTTGCCAACTTGCTTTCAAAATTTGTATCTAGTAACTTGTCTATTTGTGGAGCAGGTCACATTTAGCTTTATAAATCTTACTGACTTGGACTAATTCATAAAGTTTTTAGAAAATCCTTGTGTCTGTTTGATTTTAACCTCTAATAAGATCTTGGCCTATGCCCTGTTGCTTGTTCACATACTGAAAAGTGGAGGCCAGAATTAGTGTCTCATTGTTGGATTTAGTTCTTAGTCTTTTTTGAAATCATTGTTATCCATCCAATAAATACTTGCCATGACACCTGGCTCAGCTTAGGTGTTTACCACCTGCTAAATTCAGCAACCTTTTTTTTTTTTTTAAACTGTTCATAGTTCAGTGGAAAGCTATCCATCTTCTGCCCAATAGGCCCTGGTTCAGTTCTTGGCCAAAGCTCCTCAAGCACAGCCACTACTTGCCTGTCAGTGGAGGCTCTTGTGTTGTTGTGATGCTGAATTGGTTTCACCTATTTTTCAGCCTAGGAAGAAAGTCCTGGCTATCTGCCTGTGAGAAAAGTATCCGCTAATGAAAACCCTATGATTACAGTAGCCCAAGCTGGTTGTGCACAGGTTGTCATAAATTTGAGGTCCCGCTTAACAGCAGCTAATAGCAACAAGATCTGGAATAAGTAATCTTGCCAGGTGATGCTTTGAATTTTAACTGAAGCGCATAACCAGGATCAGATTCAGAAAACATTCTTTTTGTGTATAGCTTATCTATATATTAATGTAGGAATTTTTATAAAGACTTGCCACGGTGTACTTACCAAAATATGTAAATTGCATGAAAGTAATGTCTTGTACAGTGGAGGGGGCACAATAATTACTGAATACAGTGAACCCTCGTTTATCGCGGTTAATCGGTTCAAGGCCCTACCGTGATAAATGAAATTCCGTGAAGTAGGATTCCTTATTTGTAAATCAAATATTTTCGTAGTTAGAGCATAGAGGACATGAAAAAACACCCTTTAGTCACCATTACACTC